TTTTGTTTGTTTGTTTTGCTTTGTGTATTGAATGTCCAGAGGACCAGATTTAACTTTTTTAGATTGTTCTACCTGGATTATTGAGCTTGCGTCAGAACACAAAGGAGGGGAAGGAAAAAAAAAAAAAAGCAGCCAGGGTGTTTAGTAGAGCTCAACTGATATCCTGGTAGGGCTGATGTTTTAGACCAATATAGGCGTTTGGGGAACTATTGGTATCGGTGATAACTGTCCCGTTGTGCGCCGACATAAAAACTTCCAATTTTCACCCCTAAAATGCTGGAACCAGCCATAATTGTACAATATATCCAGCAGAGGGTGCATGAAGACTACTTTCAAGCCATGACCGTTCACTTTAAGTTTCACTTTCACATTCAGCACTCCTGAAGCAGCGAGCAATACTGTGTAGCATATTTTGCTGAACAGAGCATGGTAAGTTTATTGTAACTAATCTGTAAATTAAAAAAAAAAATCAGTAAAAATTTCTCTTCAATCCTCCAACCTGTTTGTGATTAGCTACGTTCCTCTCAAGTTAGCAAGTTAACGATTAGATAATCTAGCATAGGCTTTTGCCTTGTAAAACTTTGTCCAGAACAAAAAAATCTAACGTAGTGGTAAATATATATCAGTGTTAGTAATGTTATTCGTTGTCCTCAATGAAATGCATTGTTGGTCTGAAATATTTACTTCTCTGCAAAAAAAAAATACAAAAAATGCTACAGTCAGTACTAATTAGGCCTTCACCATATGTGACTTACTGTTAAAACAATGAACAGGGAAGGGTATTTCTTTGTTTAATTTATATTTTTGTAACACGCTTGATAATTTTATGGTGAATAGTGGAGGATAGAAAATGTGAATGCACGTTAGGAAAACAGTTTTTATGACCAGTACACCACTTGTAAACCTAGTGTGTGTCTACTATAGCATGGATCTGAATAGCTTAGCTTCATGGTTGCTAACAGCTGTGCTAATTAAACAAGTCCCGCTCCACTCTGTTTACTTCGATTCTTTGGATTGGACAAAGCTAAAAAAAAAATCTGCCATTATATTGGTTATCAGCCTTCCTTTCCCAATATTGGTATCGACGATGACCAAAATTTCCGTATCGTTCGGGCTCTAGTATTTTTCCACGTACTTGATGTGAATTCAATTATGCTTATGCCAAAAAGTTGATCTCATTCATTTATTTTTGTAACTTTTAAAATTTAATACATTTTTACAAATTATTTACAAAACTTTTCAATAGAAATGCATTGAAATCACTTTTATTCCTTTAAATCATTGTTCTCTAAAATATGTTTCAGAAACTTGCTATTTTTGTCTTTATGCTACATTTAGTTATGGTTTTGCTCATTTTAACATGTGGCCATGGTTTCTTTAATTGCAGCTTTTAGCTAAAGTTTTTTAAAAAGATGTTTGCTTTAGCTATGCATTTACACATTTTTGCTTTAAGCTGTGGTTTTGCTAATTTGAGCTTTTAGTTGCTGTTTTGCTCATTTTAGCTTCTGTTCTTTAACTTTTTGTATGTCACTTTGTTTCTTCACCAAATATAAGCAAGCATTCAGCACTCAGCATTTTCTGCAAAAAAACAGTTTGTTTATTTTTCATATTACATTAGTCGATATTTTATCAACATTCTTTTGTTTATATCCACATATTTTCATAATTGGCAAATATTAGCATGCAAACGTGTAAAATTATAGTTCCATGAGCCACTGCAGCGCCTCAAGCTGTGGTCTTTAAACTCAAATCATATCACCTCAAAAATCCAATAGCAATCAAGTTCTCTGCAAAATCATAGGAAGTAGCTGCTGCAGTGAAAACAAGACTTTTTGTGCACAAACATGAGGCTGCTGTTCCCTGGCGTGCTTTCTGGTTCAGGACAGATGTTAATTTATTCATGAGCAGAACTCCCTCTTGTCAGAGATGATAATCAGGAAGCATCTCACAGAAGCTGATTCTCTCCATTATGGAGCTTCTTGTGTCTGCATCGACACGGTTTTAACAGACAGGATTGAAAGTGGGGTTTTGGAGAAGCGTGAGCCTGCAGGATTGAGTCCTGCATGTCGGTGTTTCTGCCTGGTTTTTCTTTACAAACACTTACATCAGCTCAGAGCAGCGTCACCTCTGTCAGCCAGTGAGGAACGAGCAGTGTGGATCTGCTGGCCAATCGTACGGAGACTTAAAGAAGCACGATGCGTGTCTTACATCTAAACTTTGAACCTGACAAAAGCCTCTAAAAATACACCTGGTTTTTGAGACTGCGTATGGCAGATCACAGATCGAGTTTGTTAGATGAAATTTAAAAGAAGTGATGGGAAACGGGGGTGAGGGAGAGTTTGTTCTCCCTTCTCAGTCTGCAACTCAAGCGACGAGAGAACGAGACTGCAGTAGCCTGGCAGCCAATCGGATTGAAGCACTCTGCAGCAAATCGGAGGCAGCACACACACATGCAGACAAAACACACACTTCATCTGCTCATCTTATGTTGATGTCATAACACACTGAGAATAACACGCATGTTTCTTATTGAGGAGTTTGTTTTTATGATAAATGCCTTTTTAAACATAAATAGCATTATTAATTATGTACTAAACAGACACCGTGTTTTCGTTCTGGGTAGTCAAATATCCACAGAACAAACTGACAGAGATTTTGATGTTTCCATGTCGGGACTTTACATTACAAACTGTAATTTGATGTAATTACAAGAAAAGCTATTATGTCACTGCAGTTTGTGCAGTACTGCACATCTGCCTGCAGGGGGCGGAAGAGGACCTGAATGTTCATGAGCAGCTGAGCTGAAAGCTTTTTTCTGTTTGTATGTATTTACAAACACGCAGTCCTACACGTTTCTTTGTTTAGTTCTTCTAAAACATGACTGATTGATCATTTCAGTTGAGGATGAAATGTTTGAGCAGCTAGTTTCAGACTTCTATGTTGATTTGTGGTTTCATAGCTGGAAGTAAAAAAAATATATATATACTGAATAGCTTGAATGCTTTAAATGGTAAATAGACTGTACTTATACTAGGGATGCACGATATTGGATTTTTGGCCGATATGTTAAAACTTATTTGGCTGATAATCGATGCCGATACTGATATTTTATATACATTCCTTTGTCAGAACATAACCCTCTTATTTAGGCTTATTTACTATAAAATTGTGCATCCGCTGTAAGAGCTGGTGACATATATTCAGTAACAGCCAAGGCATATCACTTTGACTTATATTAAATGAAAAGTGTTAAATGTTATTTATTAGCATTAGTCACCTGCGATGCTGTCTCACTTGTGGAGGTTTGTTCCAGGTTCCTATAGCTGCAGTGTGGGATCCTCTGCACCCCTGTGCATGAAGGACAGACTTTTTAAGTTAAAAGTTTTTGTCTATCCATTGTTCCGTAAGACTAATCATGCTAACGGGGCTAACACGACGTCCAAATGTCTGCGGCAAAACTCACCCAACAAGTCGTGCTATTGGCTGTTAGCTTCTCAGTGATGTCGGAAATGACGGCTTGTAACTCGGGTAACGTTACATCGGAAAAATATCTCAGACTGGGGACGATGTAGCGAGGCTCAACGTAGTCCATAAATCTTCGGAATCCGACATCCTCACCACCGAAAAATAAAACTTCCGCACGGCTGACATTTTGAATTTTCCTCTCCGCCGTGAGATCGGTTAGACGCACGTGACGTCATCGTGTTGTTCTTCCGCTGCAGGCAGAAACAGTGCCTTTTATATGGGCGAGTTATTTTAATGGAATGGCTGATGTCTATTAAAATTTAACGCTAATATCGGCCGATACCATGCCGATAATATCGTGCATCCCTAGTACTTGCCTTTCTATCTTTGTCAAGATGCTTAAAGGGCTATATAACACAATCTGTGCCCTCATTTACCCATTCATACATCACTCTACTATCTCTATACAAAGAATAATCAGAGCTTTATCACATTCAAACACCGACGGGGGACACACATTGGTGGCAATGAGGATTTTAGTGTCTTACCCAGTGATATAAGAATGATTATTTTGATGCTTTTATGTCAATTTATACTTATTTTATACTCATTTTATATGCAGCTTATCTGTGCAACTCAGGCCTGTACTGCAGATGTGTTTTGGAAGAATGAAAATAAGCCTCCGGGGGTGCTCTTGCCGCAAGATCTGGCCCATCTTGCGGTTACAGTGACCCAGAGTTTGATGTAGACAGGTCTTTCATCCACCCACGACCTTGGGTTTGAAAGACATGTTTTTATGAGCCATCGCTCTGCTGTACAAACTGCCTTGATGATGGAAAACATGTTTGCTCTGCCCGCACGTCACCCAGTCAGAGGGGGAGTATAAAAGTGTAACACTCAGAAAAATAGTTGGAAGTCTGCTGCGGGTCCGGATCCGACGCCCAGCCTGAATTGATGTTACCTTTCTACTCGGACTGATAACAGCTTCCTCAGTCTGGTGTCACGGTGAGGGGTTTTCACATCAATGTTTGATTTGTACTGAATGTACATTGTTTTGCTGTATCTGTGGCAGTTTAATAAATGACACTTATTATTCTAGCAGAAAACAGCCTGAGAGTTTCTTTTGAGAGTTTTTATTCATTGCTCCGACCTTTCCCCTAACCTGTATCTGTCTTGTTAAAGATAATTTCATAGAACACCCAGGGACACTTCAGCATGTGACTGCTGGTGGAATCGAACCCCCAACTCTCCTGTTAGAGGACTGCTCTAACCGCTCATCCACAGCCGCCTCCTTTCATTCTATAATTGAAGACTAAGATAATCTTGTGTTGAGAACTGAAATTGTAGCTGTTTTTGGTCAAATCTTGAAAATGTTTTGCGCGTTCTCGTCTCTCTCTCTCGCTCAGGTTGTGTGTTGAGGATGACTCTCAGCTACTACCACACCTAATTTGAGCTTATCTTTGATTTTGCTAAGAATACAAACAGACAGACAGTTGTGGGGGATAGTAATAAATCCACGAATCGCAGTCCAGTTTCTATGTAGCAACTGGTCTGATCTTCATTGTTATGGTTTTTAGAGACTGTTCAAGCCCTCTGAAGGTGTTCCACTGCACACCAGCTGCTTGGGGGGAAGGACCCCATGTGTAGATGCCGTTGGGGTTGGCACCAAAGCACGCCGCATACCAGAATGCCCCGTATGCCAGCCTGGCACAGTTGGAGGGATGCGTGTCCTGATCTTTGTCCGTGGTGGTGAATTTCTGTCCATTGTGAAGACTTAGCGAGTCTCCTACAGAAAAAAATTTGAAAATCAGCAGACGGCAAGCAAAGCTCCGTTTGAGGAAATATGTGTTTTAATTCATTATCAAAACTTGGCTTGTAAACCTGACGTCCCACCTGCTGCCCCCTTGACGAACGTCCCCAGGTTGAGCTTGTATCCTTCTGACTCGGGCCCGACGGAAAAGGCTGCGTAATGGGCGAAAACCTTCTGACCGTCAAAGTCCTCCATGTCAACCCTCAGCTCGTAGTTCTTGACCTGGGTCAGCAGGTGCATCGTCTCCAGACCTAAGACAAACAGCAATAACGATCTTCAGACATAAAACACTTAAATGCTCCTTTATTCATTCGTTCAAATTTTATTTACAAGAGAGACCTGAATTTAACAGAGTGATGACAACAGTGGACAACAAAGACGACAACAGACAATCATAGAGGATGCATAAAAATCAAGAATAGCAAGTGAAAATAAAATGGTGTTAAAAAAATGCAACAAAAAACAGGAACATGTCTGCATCGTTTTTTCAGGAACTTAAATGTTTGAAGCCACTTAGAGAGGTCAAGGTCGAGAGCTTCAGATCTTTTTGTAAGATATTCCAGGAAACAGGAGTGGAGTAGGAGAAGGCCCTTTTGCCTAGTTCAGTTCTCACTGAAGGAACACTGCAGGTAATAATGTCCTGAGAGCGCACGCTGTAGCTGCACTCACGCAGAGACATGTAGGAGGAGATGTATGAAGGCAGAAGACCAAGAAGTGATTTAAAGATGAAAATGTTCCAGTGGACACTCTATAATCTATATCTTTATAATGATAGGGCAAACTCTGGTATGGATGCAAGGACATAAGTTTTCCTCCATGCTAGGCTAATGTCTAGATAAACAAGGCTAGGTGTTTGTTTTTTTATTCCTGCAGCTCTTTCTGAAAAACCAAACACCATTGTAAAAGAATGTGACATAAGCTAACATTAAACCTTTATAATTCTGCATTAAACAATTTGTTTTTATGTTGTTGCGATCTTCTCAAAACAATGTCCATGTTACTGTTACTTGTTGTGCTCCATGATGTCGCAGTCGATACGGTTCTGATTATTGATAACTATTAGTAATGAACAGACGTTCCCTTCAGTGCTGGTGAACATTAAATGTGTTTATATTAAACCAAATCCAATGAAGAACATGATTGATTTGTTTAAAGAAATTGGTCTTTCTGATAAAATATGCATATTTGAGTTGTCGTCCTAAAATATTAAAGCTATGATTTGTTTTTTACGTTTAAAATGACAGAATGTTCGACAAGAAAACAATAATCAAATTAGTGGTTATTAAAAAATATATTTAAAAAATTTGCTGTAACTTTGCTTTTCAAACCTGTCAAATAAATTCAATCTCTTTCCGTAATATTCAATTTTAAGCACTAAAACCTGATGAAGAATGAATGTTTGTTTCTAAAATGCATGAATATGTTCATGTACCGAGCCAGTACTCTCCAGCAGCGCTGCCGAATCCATTCTTGTAGTGATCCCACTTCATGAAGAAGTTCACTGTGCCGTCTAGTCTTCTCTGAATCACCTGGTTTTAGAGAGGAAAAGAAATTCAGTGATAGTATTTTGTGTTTTTACAGATATAAATTAATCATTTAAATGTCTGATAATTGATGTTTCGCAGATTTGGTTGGTTCTAGAGCTCCCATCGAGGTATAAAAAGGCTGTGATATTATGCTGACAGGCGCGTTCAGCAGCAAATATTTGGCTGCAGGAAACCAAGCAAACGCCGAGTCATTGTTTGTTTGGAGTGGACTTTGTTCCTTCGCCCTCACCGTCCATTTTTCAGCAGAAGCGTCGATGACGTCGTTCATGTCACAGTAGACCCGCACAGAAGAGGTGGGGCCTGCAGGGTAAATGGTGTACACGCCGTTCAGACCCGACCCGGATTTGTAGACGTCGCTGCAATCTTTAGGCAGAGTCCCCGTGTACGCTGCCGCGGTCAGCAGCGCCGCTAACACGACTCTGAGCTGCAGCAGAAAGAAACAGCACTTCTGTCAAAGTTTGCACCGTGAGGAACAAAACGGCTAAAACACAAACAGGACTCAAAAATAACTCAAATTAAATAGAGAAAACATCCTGATGAAAGTTCTCAACATCTGACTAAATGTTTTGTAGACTAGGAGATCCAGTTTGCAAGTTTCCTAATCAGTGGAAGACACTTTTTAAGGAAACAAAAGTAAAATGAAGATGATATTCTTTGACGGGGTTACTCCACACTGAGTCAAAGTTTTACACTTTCAGCTACTTTTACACCAAATTTTAGCTTTTTAGTTCTACAATTGAAGAAGTTGCAGAAATGTTTGTGTTTGCAAGACTACTTAGCTGTGACGGCCATCTTAAGTCATGGTAATTAAAAGCTAATCAGTTTTAGACACACGGTCAGTAACAATTTTTTAAATGAAGTTTCATTTATCCCAATCAGATCGAGTACAAGTACTTCAGTTTGGGTGCTTGTCGATAGGTCTTAAACAATAAATCAATTAATCACATGATAAATGACAATTTTCGATCTCATTTTCATTTATCGGCTTTATCGTTTCTTTGTGTCTCTCTCTTTCTACCGAAGACACTGGATGACAAAAGGCTCAACTCCGGTGCTCTTCACTGACCCTCTTCTCTTTAAAATCTGTTTTAACCGTCCAAAATTGTGTGTTTGGACGGTTAAAAGCAGCTAAGCTGAGAAGCTAAGCTACGAGCTAAGCTAACAGGCCGACCTCGGAAATAAACCTCCGTCTTGTCAAAGCTCCAAAATTCACAGTTGAAACTCGTGACTTTGTGTAAAAATTTGATTTTCTCTGCAAAAAGAGACTGAGAACTTGTTTACTGATTTTTTTTTAATTAAAAGCTTTGTGTGAAAAATGCTATGCTAATATGCTAAAGGCTCAAACCACATCGAGCGTCCGCCATTTTGAGAACCGAATAAAGAATGGAGAGACAGCCCATGTCACGTCAAGGGGCCTCCCTCCCAGTTTTCTTAAAGAGACACGCTGCTCGCTCCCTCACTACCCATCCTTCGGTTCAAACAGCCTTATACTGCCATCCGGTGGTCGATAAAAGATACTACATGCAAAACAAATTAACCAACATTTCTTTTTAAAATTTCAAACAATGTTATTGTTTATCGCAATAATTTCTGCGACAATTAATCGCCCAGCAAAATTTATCGTGACAGGCCTACTTCTCGATACTGAGTACTAATACTGAGTTAATGAGTTGGTACTTAAACTTTAAAGCCTTTAAAAACATTTATTTAATTAAGAACACAGCAAACAGTCTGTTGTCTTAACATCATTTGCGTTTATCTTAAAATAGCTTTAAACTAGACTTTGTTTTTATTTTTTGTACTCTATTCCAAATTGGAAGAGGAAATGATGTCATTAAGCATAAAAGTGGTATCTGTTTGAAGTATCAGGCTGTTTTTACAAGTACAAGTACAAATGCCTGAGGCTGGTATTGGCCATTAATTTAATTAAAATGTGTTCTGTGGTTCATGAGATTTTTTGCTAACAGAGACAGTTACTGTTAATTCTATTGTTGCCTCCCAGCTATAAAAACAAGCAGTTTTAGTTCAGACTAAACATTTAAACTTCATCAAAAAGAATTTCCAACAATAAGTCCAAATGTATCCGTGTCAGGTTTTTGGTGCATGTTTCAGGTAACAAATATTCAAACAATGCTTTTTTTTTGTTTGTTTGTTTTTTAACCTAACCATTTTCTAAAAACTACAACAAGAATCCATTGTTATTTTATTAGCAGCATAAATAGTTTTACTTTGGCATTGTTTAGATAAAGTTCATGTTTGTGAAAGTCTCTTTTGCAACACTCACCATCATTCTCTTGTCAGCTTCTTGTTCACAAATATGAGTTATCTGTCCTGAAAAAAAAAAAGCATTTTTAGTATTTAACATTGCAATGTAACGAGACCGTCTTTAATAAACTCACCAGTTAGTTAAGTCCTCTCACACGATACGTTCCCCCCCAACAGACTCTTATATTACTGCGTTTCCCTGGGATTTCACAAGAGTGAAATGTCCGTTTGGATTTCATAAAAGGTGAATTTAGTCCACAGAGGTGGTAAATAAATCCCTTCTCGTTTGGTTTTAGGTCATTGTGAAGTAAACTTTGCTCCTGGAATTTCCAGATGAATGAACTGCAGCTAAAATATTCGTACGAGTGCTGACTCAGCATTCACACTTTTGCTGTTCTATATGTTTTTTTTCCACATCTACTTCAGCATACTTTATAAACATATGTATACAATAATAATTTAATAACAACTATAAACGTTATTGTCATTCAAAATTGAACAGTGCGCATCATGCAAAATTGCACACAATTTTATTTCTCCACAGCAGTGCAGCTGTACATAATTTACATGAATTTTATAGACTTTAGTGTTTAGAGCAGAAGATGCGATTCTTGTGTGGATACAAGTAATGTGCAAACATTAACGATTGTTCCTACGTACACCTAGACGTATACATTTATACATGCATGTACAGATATCTACATGAATGTATACGTACATACATACACGCAGCATCCAGGCCTGGGTGAATTCTCTTATACTGTTTATTTCGTGTAAGGTTATTTATTTATTTTTTGATGTGGCATGTCTGTGGCTGTGTGTGTGTTTGCTATTGTGGTCACGTCATTAGTTCATACAACATGTACGTACAAATTACGTAACTCGTTCAGTAGGTGGGTGCTGTGATTTTTGGTATCTGTAACTTTAATACTTATTTAGCTTAAATAATTTAAGAAGTTCAGTAATTTGAGAGAGACTTGAGAGGAGCCAGTTGAGGAAGTTCAGGCATCTGTTAAGGGTGCCCCTTTGGAAGCCTACAGGGAGGAGACCCTGGGACTCCCTGGAGAGACGAGGGCTACGTTCACTCTGGAGGTCTTACTGCTCAAATCAGATTTTTTTGGTCTGATCCAATTTTTTTGTGAGGTCACTGACGTTGTATGTTCAACACGACACACTATGGCCCTGAAGCGACACACGTGTCTAGAAGCAGACGTGATGTCAAACACGCCGTGTTTACAGAAGTAAAAATGGACGCTACACACGTTAGCATGTTTGCATTGATTCTTTATTGAAGGTGTTGCTCATTCAGAACCAATTAAAATATTATCTGACAGGATTGTTTCACCAGTGTTTATATATATTCTTGCCTCTGGCATCTACTTCTACAAGCGGCAAAATATGGATCAATGGATGGATGGATATACAAAATTTTAGGTGTTATTGAAATTATTAGATATCTTTAATTATAGCTCTATTTTTTTTTTTTAACCTACAGTTTTGCTATTGCCTGTCAAAAGTCAGACATGTTACGATATGCAGTAGTCCCTATTTTATTGCAGGGGTTATGTTCAAGACACCCCCACGATAAAGTCTAGTACCCCCGACATAGGGACGTTGTATTTATTTGAGTATTTATATATATTTTAAGGCTTTATAAACCCTTTCCACAATCTAGCAATGTTCTTAACAATGTTCTAAGCTCTCTAAACGCTCTAAAAGAGCACAGTGGAAGAGAGCAGACAGACTGATGCTACGGTTACTGAACCAGTCAGACTGGACATCGGGAGCACCGGGACACTTCCCGGTGACCTGGCCTGCTCAGTGATTGCTGAGGGGGACTAAAGGCTTGGTTGGGGTTGCGTTTGATTATTTTAAATAAACAATCCATGCTACTCGTGCGGCTCACTCGGGTATAAGACGGACCCCACCCCCTCCTTTCTTTTTCCAAGGTTGTCTATTGCGTGGCTGCCTGTGACAGACAGCCTCAGAAATGGAAAGGAGGGGGCGGGGTTCCGGTCGTATCTGAGTGAGCCGTGCTCAGCCACTCTCTCTTTTAAATCGATTCACTCGTTTTTCCACTTAAGTATTTTCCTCGATATTCTACATTTGTTCATCTGATCTGTTCATCCCTGCTCCCTGAGCAGCAGCGATGGGGAAAGACAGACCCCAACCCCAAATCCCTCCTTTCTCTTTCTGAGGCTGTCTCTGCTGTGACAGACAGCCTCAGAAAGAGAAAGGAGGAGGCAGTGTTGGGGTCTGTCTTTCCCACATTGCCATTTGTGTGTCATGTACAATCTTACGTTGAAAACCCATGAAAGAGTGAGTCCACGAAAGTCTAACCGTGAAGTATTGAGGGACCGCTGTTGTCTCTGTCCGTCTGTTCAAAAACTTTCTCTTGTCCCGCCCATAACTTCTGATCCTCTCAACTACATGTGCTTCATCACTGGATGGAGAGTTTTGTACATGTTTCATCACCCCAGCCATAAAGTCAAGGTCACAGGTCACGGTCAAAGTTCAAACAAGGCCTTTGCTTGTTTGGGCCATTGCTACAGATTGCTGTATGATAGTTTTTCAATGGTCCTTGATGAGTCTTTTTATGATTTGACTACTGTAAGTTTTAGTTTTTGGCTACCGTTTGACCTCACAGCTGACCTTAAATCAATAACTCACCACTGATTTTGCTTAAACAAAGAAAAAGTTGAATTTTATTATTATGTAGGACCCTATAAATGATGATAATAACTGGAAACAATCAGAACAGATTGCTTTCTTGTTAATTTAACCTCTCTTCATAAAAACAAGACGAATAAAGAAATGTTTAAAGTTGCGTTAACTCGACAGAAAGTTTTATTTCTCCACTCTACGACTCGGAGCAGATTTGGGTCTCGTGTTGCTCCGTTAAGAGTTTATTACCGTTTTCTTGGCACGTCTCTGGATTTCTCGTTGGCAGCCAGGTATTTTTAGTTGTGACATACCGCCCCTATCTCCTTTTTCCTCCCACAACAAACCAGCCCTCCCCTTCGTTCTCACCTCCCTCCCCCGCATCCCTCCCTTCCTGGCTTCCAGGCCGGGGCTCTAGCTGCCACGGCGCTCAGGTTTCACACTTTGAGCTGCAGGCTGAGCAACATGGCAGTGGAGGAAGCAGCAGAATGTTTGGCAGAAGTAAGTCCTTCCTGTACTTTACTGTAAACCCACTGAGTGGCTGCTGGCTTTAACCGTGTGTGTGGAATCTATAGAGATGTAGAGGTGTTACTGGTCCAGAGAGGGGGTGTTACCGGAGGACGGTGCAGATTGATGGGATGGATCGCAGTGATAACTCTGCTGCACCGCGCTGCTGCAGTGTGCGTGGATGTCTGCGGATCTGAGTGACTGTTCCACCGTGATTGCACCTTAATGAGTTCCTGAAGCTGTTTATCTTGAGGGTCCTGCAGGGTCCTGCAGATACAGTTTCACGCTTCCTGCTGATGAGAATGGATTCACCTGACCTTGGGCAGCAGCACAAGCTCTGTACAGTTGTTGGAAAGGCGACAAAAGGCACAAAAATGTTATGACCCTGGATTTATTAGAAAGGGGAAGAGATTAAATTAGAAATAAATAGTTTGATTAAATCATAATTGCTTCGGAGGGCAAAGGCCCCCTAAAGCTGGTGATATGTGATATGCACGGTGCAGTATTTTCCTTTTTTTAACGTCATTTTGCGTCATAACTTGCAGTGACTTTAACATTTGTCAAAACCTGTTTGAAATCAATTCAGGAGTGACGTCAGTTATAATTTGTAATGCTTCAACAATTAAAAGGCGCAGCTTGAAAACGTTATGCACAATCCCATGCAATACTGTGAGGACACATTCAGAGCATTTGTTGTGAAAACTACCACATATTTTAGCTCAGTATCTGTAAAATTAACTGTTACTGTGATTTTTGTCCTTTATCTGTGGCAGCTAACCTAAATTAAATTGACCCTAAATGTTAATTAGTTGTATAGATTTCCATCCAAGTGGTTTATGAGATGTTTTTTTTAAGACGGAAGCATCTATATCCACATTAATAATGATAAACTCCTTGTTGATGTTCCTCAGGGCTCCTTGTCTTGTCACCATTGGGACCGGTGGTGGATCTGTGTTAGCGTAGAGTTGCTCCGGAGAAAAGAACATTCTTTGCATATCTCTGATGGATAAATAAAGATGCTCAGGAATGTCACAGGGCCTCTGCTGAAAAATGACCCTCTGTCACCGAAAGTTACCACCAAACCTCTGCTTTAACAAACCTCACGGCTGTGGGGAAACATTGTTTTTGTTCTAATTTGCTGTAATTTTACACATTTCTACCTCGCTTGCAGTTGACTTTGTGAGTCTGATGTCACGGTCCCAGTAAAACGTCGTTTTCACTGTAACACAGGGTAGACGTAGACACCAAAAACACACAGTGTGTGCGTTTTTGATGCTGAACTGAGATGAGGTCCTTTCTGTGAGTCGGAAATGAGCTCAGCAACCAGCTTCAGCCAATAATCTGTTCACAATACCAAAGATTACTGTGCAGTGCGCATGAAAACACCCCCTAACACACAACACTTCAACAAACCGCACGTCGGATTAAATGTTTGTTACGACACGCCGTGCTTGACGGAACCAAAAAAAACGTTCCTTTGTCAGTCTGTGTTGCCACTCCAACACATGTGCCTCATTTATTTTCTCTGCTGTGTGTGTGTGCATCTGTGAACAATACAATACAACTTTATTTATAAAGCACTTTAAATACAACACCATTGGCCAAAGTGCTGTACACTGACGAGCATAAAAACCATAAAATCTACTGATGCTGTAAAAATATGGCAACAAAACACTTGGATTTTAATGAAACTTCAAGAAAATGGAAAATACTGATTAGATCCACATCTGTAGCTTTTTTTAACATTTGGAGCCAACTCAAATCAAGATGGCTGCTGCAGCCAACCTACTAGAATACAAAAGTTGCTCTAGCTCAGTCAGTTTTACAGATGTTAGACTAATATCTGATGTGGTGGTA